AAAAATAATAAAAATGATCCCAAAAAATTATCATTTCGCTTAATATGAAACATGTATATGTACTGATAGTAATGAGGAAATACAATAAAATTGGCAAAAATGTCGAAAATGATCATGTTAAATCAGTAAATAAAAAATAATTTTTTAAATTCAGTATTATGGGGGTCATTTTGTACTCTTACCGACTCAACATTCCTTGTACTAAATGCATTATTTATTATTGTAGTGAATAAGCAAAGTATTAGATTTATTATCCCACTATTAAAATAAAAGTAATGCATTGCATTGTAACTGCTCTGTGTATTAAATATGTAGTCCATTTCTATTATTATGTTTATTAGCATCTCATTGATAATCAATGATTTTCAGGCAAAATATGATGCGCGAATTGCTCACGCGAAGCAGACGTTACTTCCTTACAATCAAAGTTCTTGGCAATCAAGAAATCGATATTTATTAAATCCCCAACAAAATGGTGGTTTAGATATAGATTATAGGAAACAATACGTAAATGGCAATATACCAAATGGAAAATACATGAATAACAATTCTTTTGTAAACAACACAAACTCAAGCAGTACTAATTTGTTGTTTGTATGACAATAATTTTATTTTTAGATAGGAAATAATATTTTTTTAAAGTATTTCTTTCAATTGTTAACCATTTTATTTATGGATTATGTTTACAACTTTTCCCTCGATTTTTATATCTCGAATTATTTAACTGACCTGTATTACAGAAGAGGGTGACAATCTTTTTCTAATATCCATTCTAATGTTATGAATGCTTCTCATTGTCTCCTCCAACCAGGCCCGAAATTTCAAGAGTATTAATAAACAGTGACGTCGTTGTTGAATATTGGAACTTTCTTCAAATTTTTACAACGACATCCCTATCTCAATTTTTTCTATTTTTTTTCTTTTGTACATTGTCATTTGCATTATCAAAAATATGCACCATTTTAGGTGTTATACAGTTGATAAATAAAAAAATATATAGGATTTTTGAGTAAAATAGAAGAAAAACATGGTTGATAGATTTATATAATACATGATTACGATAGTGCCAGAATGTAAAATAAGAAGACAAATTAAAATTATGGAGATACTTAATCAAAAAAAATATAATAATAAATATTTTATCAGATACTACAGACGCATGGCATTCATTTAGAAAATGTAGATCACCCTGTTATATACTTAACTATTTATGTTTGAGCGATTATAAAAGACGCACCGAATTATTTATATATCTTGTTAAATTATACATTTCGATTTGTTTTCTTTCATATTTTATTTATAAAAAAGTACAGTATTGTAGTGTTATGCTATGGAGGTTTTTTGTCTATTTTTTCTGTGGAATTGTGTAAATATGTAAATAAATAAATATTTTTTTTATAACATGGCACTGGAATTATTTTTTTTACTATAAAGTCTTTGTGATTGTGTTCTGGCTGATTGATAACATTTTGCGATTAGAAAGATTGTCCTGGTCGTCGGAGCTCCAGGAAAATAGGTGAATGTCCTGAAATTTTTGCAACATTGACGTAAAATAATTTATTTTTACAACAAAAGATGCTTACTTTTTCTGAACGATTTAGATAAGGATTTCGTGAGACAACGAGTTCGATTCTGTCACCTGCGGATGCTATTAGAGGCACCGTCAAGCAGCAGTCGAAATCTTGTGTGCACGTATCGTTTACCTGAAAAAAATCTACATATACATATTTTGAAACTAAATAAATGGAAAGCAAACTTTGTTAGGTTTATATGGTATTTTCTATAAATATGAACGTTTGAACAACAGGGTATGTTTACAAGTCTAGCTGTAACACCTGGAGGAGTCAAGAGTAGTATATCCAAACGCCGAATAAAATCAGTAATAATATTCTATTCATCTGTTACCGTAATGACCACCCACTCTTTCCCACGATTTCTAAAAGAAGGCTGAAGAGATATGAAACACCAAGCTTTCATTTTTTGGCTTATTCAATATACAACGCGTATCGTGAGAGTGACACTGAGTTGCGTACATTGGCTCGCTGCGCAATAAAGCAGTGCGCATCCGACTTGATGCATAGGTAAGATTATGTTTATATTTTGTATTTTTACAACTGTAAAAAAACGCTTTGCTAACCATAACACCCGTTCTGCTATTTATTTGTCTTTGCCAGGTAGTAGGGGGAAATTGGTCAATACCTTTCTTTTTTTGTTTCATTCAACGTTCGGCTGTATTCGTGACTCCGGGTGTGCTGGCTAGACTCTTGTAGCATATCTGACTTTGAAGGCCACAACTTTTGAGACATTTTTATTGTTGTTACTTATGTGAGAATTCTAATTAACTCAAGTGAAATGTAGATAGATTTACTATTTAACTCAACTCAATCCTTTTACTTTCATCTATATGTTAATACATGTTAATTATCTTTTATCTTATTTTTTGGCGGGTTCTTAATATTTTCTCGATTTTCTTAGTTACCTGCATTAAACTTAAAAACGAACTTTTTTGTTAATTTGTATACGAGAAAGTACTGAAAATAAAATTATGAAAAAGTTCTCCGAAATACTCCTCTAAAATGTAGGAAAATTATACGAAGGATTCTACGTATCATAGTTCGTGAGAAATTCAAAATAAAAAATAAATGTGACCTAGTTAGTTATTCGCAATATAAAGTGATACAGTTATCTTCTTTGCGGCTTTTTGCAAAAAAGTACATGTTTTCGTTTGTTTATAATACATACCTGTAAAATTCTGTCGTAGGGTTTTAGTAGTCCCACAATATCTGCTGGTCCACCCTTCCTGATTCTATTTATGTAAACGCCCTTTTCGTAAAGACCATCACTTACACTAAATCCGTAATCGTCGTATATGGAATCTTTAAACAACGTTACATGATGAATTTCGTGGCCTAAGATATTTTCATTGCTGTATGTTCCAGGTAGTCTTTCCATAAAATTGTTACTTTTACTTTGGCAGTACATGTTAGCCTCGTACTTTAACGTGTTACCAAAATTGTAATTGGGCAGTGGTAAAGGGCTTGGGCAGAACGTTTCCTCTGTATCTGAATAATACTGCAACTGACCACACTCGTTTTTATTTTGACTTTCTTTATTTTCTGGATGCTCTTGCAATGATAACGGCTCACTTATTACACTTTCTATGTCTTTGTTTTCAACGTGATCTATAAGATTCAGATGTTACAAAAAATTCAGAGGTAAATATGAGCAGATATATTACCTTAATTCATATTATATATTTCAATATTTATTGCAGGAATGTGAACTTTTGTACTTCTTTTTTTGATGGAGCATTTTGAAGAGAAGTAACGAAGGATAAAAAATTGCAAAATTTAAATACCAAATGTGTAGCAATAAATAATTTAGTTTTATAGTTACCTTCGTGTAGCTTTTATTANTTCAAAGAATTGAGAATATATCACCTATTAGTAATTTATGGAGGCTTTAAACGACAACAGTAATAACTTTTGCGTTCCTTTTTTTTAAACTGACAATATTGAAACTTACCAAACTCTAAGATTTGGTATACAGGGTTGCTCAAAAAGTATGCAATATATTTATTGTGGCCAAATTATATATAGTGTACCTAAATCGAAAAATTTTCAAACAAAAAACATGTTCTTTATTTTAATACAAAATCGTCTGTAGCATCTTAATTTAGAGTTGAAAAATAGCCGCGTTTTTTGCATGGCCCTATATTGTCCTACAACTTTTATTAACTGGATCCATATTACTGTATCCTACAACAGCAAATCCGGATGCTACAGAAGATCTTGTATTAAAATAGAGAAAAGCCTTTGTTGGAAAAATTTCTGGATTAAACTTACAATACATTGGACCACCCTGTATACAAAAAGCTTATTTACATTTCAGTGGCGTATCCTGTTTAAAGCAAAAAAGACGTGTAATTAAACATCACATCGAAAAATTAATACGAATAATGTTAACGATGAACATCATCGTTTCATTTTAAAAATAAGACCAATAATCATAAAATATTATTACGATCCTTTACTTAGAATTCTCGATCTGTTTTAATCTTTTTTATTTGTGCTAATATTTTTGGCAACCGTGAATAAAAAAACATCCCGTTCACGTGTCGAAAGCTTTATGAGCCAAATGTATATCCGTTGTATTCTCTTAATACGTTTTATTAACCAATCAAAGATGATGTATGCGGTTCTTTGTAGTCAGTACATCTGATACATATACACATATACACATACACACACACACATAAAATAATAAAATTACACACGAAACCTACCTATTTTTGGGTTCAAATGTCTGGCTATTTTTAGCTGCACCCTATCGCCGGAAGTTTGAAGCAACCTAATGGCTTCGGACAGAGGCCTGTGCTCCAAGCTTTCGCTATTAATTGCTAAAATTCTATCGCCCACATGAAGGGCACCTGTTTTTTCTGCCAAGCCACCTGGAACAATAATTATGATTTTAACAAATCTAACGTGCACTCATTTTGGAGAAACATAGCTCTTAGATGACCATCTGTCCCTCTTGCTCATTGTAAGATTCATAAATATAGGTATAAGAAACGGACGATATATAAATAAAGCAGCAGTTTCCTAGTAATTTCTCAACTCAAATGGTAGTAATCAAAATTAATCAAAATAAAATTATATACAGGGTGAGCCACTAAGCCGAAATGGAATACGAAAACCGCAACCTTCCCAGTCGTTTCGTTTCTGAGATATTTATAATGACATCAACGATTGCAAACGTCAAATTTTCGAAGAAACGTGAAACAACTCCAGAACGGTGCGATCCAGGTCCAATACATTCTAATAAACAGATATTGTTTTTTTATTAGGAACTCAAAAATGTAATAAAAAGTAGGGGGTTTCATTTAGAATAACGAAGTTATTGTGCATTTAAGGTATAACCGGAAGTCAGCCATATTTGAAAATATTTTTACGTTATTTATACATTTAACTCATTACTGTTACTTTATTTTGCACTATTATGTTAGAATACGTGAAAAACAAAATAAAAATAAAAAAGCTTTGCACATTCTCACTTACCTTTTTTCATGCATTTTGTTTACGGTGTAAAAGTTGCAAGAACATTATCACTGCAGAAACTGATTTTCTTCATTAATAAAGCGAAAAAGGATTAGGCTCGATTTGCGTTTCAAATTCATTGAATTTGTTTATTTCAAACGTAAATTTTATCGACTATAAATTTTGAATCTACAGGGTGTCCCATTTACATAATGAGAAATATTGACGAACTTGTTTGTACTCATTAGATATATTTTACATTAATAAAAAAAGGAGTACTATATAAGTACTATTACTGATCGCAGGCATCTGTAGATCTGTACCGATTTTTAAATTAAAGGTATTAGAATTCTTCATTCATTAAAAAAGAGTGCGGGATGTTCGGTTACACTGCTCACGCGTGGGTAGCTAATAGGTTTGCGTGCCACAAGAGTTTGTGAATATTTTCGTGGGTATTTCATATATATTATGGTCGTAACTGGTATCAAATAATAGGTCAATGTGTCTACATGTGTAGAAAATTAGAAAAAATCGAAGTGGTTTATCGTGCGAGTTGTCTACATGACTAAATAGTACAAGAATGTTTTAAGTAAAATCATCCAGTGAGACTCAGTTGCGAGACATCGTCAATCTCTAGTTTTTCTTAATTACCAAGCACAATTTAAGAGAAAAGAGAATCGTAACGTTCCAATAGTTCTTTCAAATTTATATTGCGAAGTTGAATAGATACTTTTTTATAGTTATAGTGGCTGAGAAACGCTTACGATTAGTTATTATTGTATTAGTTGTTTCATACAAGCAAATAGCATACAGCATAGCGCATTCTGTTTGCTGGGAGTAAGATAATAAAAATAAATACGAAATACATAAAAAACTATAAAATTACACTTACCTGTACTGTTCTCGATATTATTTTCGGTAGCATTGCTGTCCCATGAGTCTACGGCACTGTCTATACTTGCTAACCCTGGGCTAGAATAACTACTGCGCTTTTGGTCAGAAATACTCTCTGAAAAAAAAAGGCATTTTTAATATGATTAACTTAATTCATTTAATTGTCATTGTAAACAATGCCATATTAGGTATGGATCTCATAAAATGATAATATTGAGTGTACTCATGCATACCTACTCAATTTATTAGGTTATTNAAATCTCTTATGTTTCACAAATAACAAAAATTTTAAGAAGATCAATCCAAAACAAATAACATTTTAAAGAATTGAAGAATTATACTATAAAAGCTTTTTCCTTTTACTTTTTTGGCAATTTCATTTGCGAGTAAATGAAAAATAAAGTGTCTCACCTTCCGTTAATCTTGAAAGAATAATAGGTTCTTGACTGTCCTCGCTTCCCGAGATTGTGATTCCCAAAGGACCTCCGTACCGTGTTAGTTCAACAGTGTAAACAATACAATCCAAAAACAAGTTGGCATTGTCGGTTTCTGTTTTTTCGATTTTTAATGTGACAATGTCGTTTGTAGACCATTGGAAAATGTCGAAGTTTGATTCGAAATTAACGTTATCCAAGGATCTATTGTCGATCGATAACAGTCTATCTCCTGCATGTAAAGTACCCGTTCTATGAGCTATTGAACCTCTACGAATTTCTGATATGATAAAAGGTTCGTCTGGATGATTTTTGGATGCTGCAAGAATGTTGTTTGTCAGTGTTGATCAATTACCTTTATCAGTTTAAAAAAAAAGTGCTTAGTCCCACTAATAACCAATTTAGGCCAAAGCAAGGATTTCATATTTCAAAATTCGGTATTCACTTGATACGTATATACTGAAGTAAAGTTACATTCAGTGGCGTAACACTAGGGTGGCAGAAAGGAAAATAACACGGGTTCCTGGCCCAAGAGACCGTGAGGACAGAAGAAACCTACCATTTATTATAAAATTCAGTAAAAAATATTAATTTTATATTTAATCAATTTAAGTCAAGTATTAACTCAAAAACTATCGAGATTTGAACACATTCATAAGAAAAAGATCGTTCAGTTTTAGAACGCTTCCATTGCGATAAGTTCATTTCTTTGGTGACGCGAGTTAATGATTTTCGGGGAAGTCCCGTTTTCTATTTTTGAAGGACGTTCATGCGCTACGCTAGAGTCAAATGAGTACTAATTTTTTACGAAATTTATTTGAATCTCGAGAAAACTTGATAAGTATACATATATACTTTACTTCGTGATTTAAAAAGATGAAATTACAATGTGAAGTTTTTTCCATATTAAGTTATTAAGGGAGGGCCCCATCCGATGAATTTGTAATGGGCCTCAGATGGTATAGTTACGCCACTGGTTACATTACTTTGACGTTATAAAGTATATTCTTACCTGTGATTGTTATACCCAATCCAGGGCCCTTCTTAGGCAATTTCACTGTAAAAATTCCGCTTGATGGAACTATTGTGTCCGCTACGTCAAACTCGACTTGAACAATAATTTTAGGAGTGTTATTTGGATCTGTACCCGCCTCTAAAAGATTATTGATTTCTTGAAGAGTGAGATTCGGTTGGTGATTTACCGATATTATACGGTCACCCGTTTGTAGACATCCGCATCTGTAATACGACACTTTTTCTACTAAAACGAACAGAAACTGTTTGTCTTTGTCGTAAAAATAAAGGTTTGATCACCGACTTTTCCCATTTTATCAGGATTGGATGTTTTTTTTTGACTAGTTTAGCCTTTTTAACCAAGTAAAATGCTGGTGCTTATTGAAGTTGAAAATTTATGTTTTATGGGTTGGCTTCAGTAACCTGCTGCATGATAGGAAGTTTGGGAGGCGGAAGCGGAAAAGGTGGATTTTGGTGAGGCAACCCCCATTGCACGGAAGGGTAAAAACAAAATTAGTATTCTGAATTATGATAGGAGGTATGAGATGGAGAAAATATTTAATATAGTACTCCAAAACAATTGTTAATGAGTAATCTGCAACTCAATTCTTCTGCTTCAGATGACTCATAACTATTAGAAAAGTCCTGAAGACGATTTAGGGTGAAATATCGGTAAAATACGATATGAAGGGGTGGAAACTCACAATCATAAACTTTTTAGAATATTAATGTGAAAGTTCATTTTCAATTTTTTACCCACTAAAAGGTTGTTAAAGGTGTATGTTTGAAGCGCAGCGTTGTACGGGTGTGAAACATGGACAGTGGGCGCGGCGGAAAAGAAAAGGTTAGAAGCTTTCGAAATGTGGTGTTATAGGCGAATGATGAGGATAACGTGGATAGAAAAGGTTTGAAATGAAGAGGTATTAGAAAGAATAGGAGAACGGAGGACTCTATGGAAGTCAATATAAAATAGGTGAGATAGGTTGGTAGGACATCTTCTCAGGCATGAAAGTCTAGTCAGTGACATATTAGAGGCAGAAGCAGGAATTAGAAGGGGTAGAGGTAGACCTAGGTTAGATTACTGTTCGCAAATAGTTAAGGATGTGGGACGTTCTAGTTTTAGGGAAATGCGAAGTTTAGCTGAGGATAGGAAAGAGTGGAGGTACGTGTCCAACCAGTCTTAGGACTGACGACCTTATGATGACCCACTATAAACTACCTCAGGTTAATGAGGGAAAATTTGTTGCTGTTGTAAATTTTTCACATTTTTCGTAGCTTAGTAGTCAGAGCATTAGTGCGTAAAGTGAAAGGTCCCGGGTTCGATTTCCGGCGAGGGTGTGACAACAGCAACAAATTTTCCCTCATTAACCTGAGGTAGTTTATAGTGGGTAAAAAATTAAAAATGAACTTTCACATTAATATTTCATATTAACCACTATTAAATGTCGAAGTGTTTCATACATATAACTTTTTAGAATTGTAGGTTGCCAGTTTCTTGAACTGTCTAATCGAAAAAACAACATTAAACTAAAATTAAACTAAAGGAAACAAAATTGGAAATTCCAAACCATTAATGAAAAATTAGAACAGCTACTAATTAAATACATTTTTTTTGTTTTAACCAAATAAAATAAGCTACTACAATTTATGACAAGACACAAATTAAAAATGTCTAGGTAGGTATAGTTTTCGCTCACCTGTAAGCTGAGGAGTCATTTGCAATCCTTCCGATCAGTATGTCCATGGGCCTATTATCAGAATGTTCACCAACAGCTAAGGTTAATCCATAACCTTTGCCCCTGTCAGCGACCAATGTTGTATAGAGGGTTTCAGAATGACAGACGCCTCTGGTTCCTGGTGATGTACAAAATGTGTTCACTGCAAAAAAGATAGACAACAAAATTTTTGATAAATTGATCTCCTTTTGAGATAATTCACAAAAGTAAGGGGTTCATGAGGGAATTTTTTAGACCTAATATACAAATTACATATTAGGTAAAACCTCAAAACAAACATCAAAATTAATTTAATTTGGGAATTTTTTTGATGGATTGACAACCACTTCTGAAAATTACGATTTTAATATTTATCCAATTTAATTTTTTCCAATTCTCTAAATAATAATAACAGAAACAATCATAAACTGGAAAATTGAAAATTATTAATTATAATATGAATTCGAAATATGAACACATTTGAAATGTTTTCATAGTAAAACGATGTCAGTAAGGGTATTAAATAAAACCCTGATTTTTTGAATATACAAGGACGGAACATAAGCCCGCAATGAGGAGACTGTAAAAGGGAAAGCGGCACGGAAACAGGTGTCTAGAGATGTGCAAAATGTTTTTTTTAACAAATTAAAATGTAAAATACAAAATACATTTCCCTTGTGCATTTTAAATGCAAAATACGAATTTTCAAAACACTTTTTAATTCGTTACATTTACTTATGTATCAAATAATTTTTAAGAAAACCTTGCAGGCATCTGCTCATTTTTTAAATATCGGAGTTTTTCTAGACTAACAGTGGTGTTTGCATTATATCACCAGCTACGAAGATTGAGTATGATTCATATTTTTTTGTTTGAAGTAGTTGAGAATTATATCATTATGTTATAGTTTCTTCAGTTGAAAAAAAGACATTGATCCGAAAATAGTTTTTTTAGCGTCAATGATCAGAACCAAAGTAGGATTGCAAATAATTTTATTGATGTAAAATCAAGATCAATCATTTTATATCAAAATATTTATAACTCCATTTTGTTTCTGATTTTTTGTAGTTCTTTGCTAAAGGTACGATAAGTCGTGATTTGGCAGGTGCAGATATTAATTTGGAACTTCAAAATTCCATATAGCATGACACTGAACCCGGAAAACAATATCGATCCAATATTTTAGATTATCCATTTTCTAGGAGTTTAGAATTTTTTGGGCTCTTTTCAGTTAAATAATTAGATGGCATTCATGAAATGGCTCTGTCCCCTTTTTAAACTTCTAATACCTTCAATAGCCAATGTGAGCAACTTTCATTCAACATTTTATATAATATTTCATCGGTGATACTAGTAAAACTTTTAACGGCAAAAATGTATTTTGCATTTTACAAATAGAAAATACGTTTGGAAAAGTATTTTAAATAAAATACAAAATGCTTTTTTCAAAAAAGTATTTAAATGCAACTATTTCAAATAAATCACATCTCTGCTAGTGCCTAGATTCAATTGGCTACTCGTACAGCGCAAGCGTAGTATGCTAACTACTGTATAGGTGCAGCAAATAAAATGTAGGTATAATTGTATGAGCACCACCGATTCTCTCATGAGAGACTTATCTCCCGTCGTTTGTAATGGTACATTATGTTTCGTCCCTATATTACTGTCTATCGTTTAAACCCTAACAATATTCCGTTACAAAAACTGTAAGTACTTAGTACACGTATGTAACACCTTGTATAATCGGGAATGATTTTATGTTGCTATTATCAAAAAAATCCTTATGAAAGTAATATAAAAAGGAATAAAGCTTTCTTTTGTTGAAGTTTTAACACTTACCTTGATCTCCTCCCTCAAATAGTTTTGGTACTGAGCTCTTACGGTTGTTATATCGATTATTCCTACTTCTCGACCTTCTTGAATTAATTGTGCTAAACCCTGAGACGCTCGGACTGCTTTGATAAACACCTGCATAACGAATGGTACACACATAAGTAACTAAAAACGGTCAGCTCTAATGATTAGAATTATAGTTTTTATTTACCGGACTTAAAATTTCGTGAGGACGATCGTTGTACCGCATGTGCTGGTAATATTTGGAGTTTAGTGGCACCTCTTAATAACTTTTCGGCATCTCTCGGACTACCGTTCCAATCGTCCAAACAGATGTCGTCTATTGCTAATAATTGATCTCCGACATTTAGAGCGCCGCATCTGTCAGAGGTACTTCCTGGTATAATTTGGTCAATGAAGAAACCTGTTCGATAGAAGCACATCAAATCGGGCTGATCCATTTTGACCAATTTATTTTTTTTTTTTTTGGTTTGTACAAAACTTGCTAGCTTTTGACGTTTTAATATAATTTCAAATTTAATTCACTCATTCCTAAATCTTTTTTCGGATTACAAGTTGTTGATATTTGTGATACCCCGTAGAAAAAATTTCCATTGAACTTCA